CGCGCTGTAGCGCTCCTGCGAGAACACCGGCGCGTTGTCGTTCACGTCCAGCACCCGCAGCGCCAGCACCCTGCTGCTCTGCAGCGCCGGCCACCCGCCGTCGGACGCCCGCACCGTCACGTTGTACTCCGACTGCTGCTCCCGGTCCAGCTCTCTCGCTGTCACCACGCGGTAGTAGCTGCCCTGCGATCTCTCCAGCAGGAACGGGACATTCCCGTCAAGGGAGCAGCGCACCTCGCCGTTGGCACCCGAGTCCTGGTCTTGTACGTGTAGCAGGGCAACAACAGTCCCCGTCGGGGAGTCCTCAGAGACCTCACTCAGGGACGACCTCACCAAAATCTCGGGCGCGTTGTCGTTCACATCTGTAACAGTGATAATAACTTTAGCCGTGTCAGAGAGCTCTCCTCCGTCATGTGCTTGCACCTCCAATTCATGGAAGGAGATTTTGTCGAAGTCTAAATCATCTTTAAGGGTTACTTCTCCTGACTCGATGTCCAGATAAAAAAGTTCCGACGCTCGGTCTGAAATTTTATGGAAACTGTATTTCACGTCCCCATTCAAGCCCTCGTCGGCGTCGGTGGCCGTGACGGTGACGAGGACGGAGCCCACGGGCACGTCCTCCGCCACACGCACCGTGTACTCCGCCTGGCTGAACACGGGCGCGTTGTCGTTCGCGTCCACCACCGTCACGCGGATCCGCGCCGTGCCCGTCCGGGCCGGATCGCCGCCGTCCATCGCCCTCAGCATCAGCTCGTGGAACGCCGCCTCCTCCCGGTCCAGTGCCTTCGCCAGCACCAGCTCGGGACGCTGATCCCCGGCGGGGCCCGTCTGCACGGCCAGCGAGAAGTGCTCGTCGCCGCTCAGCTCATAGCTCTGCAGAGTGTTTCTTCCTGAATCTGCGTCTTGAGCTTCCCGGAGGGAAAATCGCGATCCCGGTGCTGTAGTCTCGCTCACTCTCAGTTCTTTTTCTGCCTCTCTGAAAGTGGGCGCGTTATCGTTAATGTCCGTTATTTCCACTTCTATTTCATAAACCTTCATTTCCCCCTCCACTATCAGCTCACAGTGCAGCACGCATTGCTCCACACTCTCGCACAGCTGCTCTCTGTCGATCCTCTCGGCCGTCACTAAATGTCCCGACCTCTCGTGCAGAGCAAAATACTGCGTCCTACCGACAGAGACAACACGGACGCTGCGGTCTTGAAGCGCCGGCATCTGCAGCCCCAGGTCCTTGGCCACGTCACCCACGAACGAGCCCTTGGGCATCTCCTCGGGCACCGAGTAGCGCAGCTGCCCCCACGCCGCCTCCCAGGCCGCCAGCAGGACGCCCCAGAGCAGGACTCGCTGCCGCCGGCCCCAGCGCCTCCCCGCAGAGCACATCTCCGCCACCGCACCGCCGGCACCACAACACCACCGGCAGATCCCCGCTGCCGATCCCGCTCACACTCCACCTTAAACCTGTCGCTCCCGGCCGCTACCGCCGGCCCCTCTGCCTCGCTATATCACGGCTCCGCACTGCCGGGATGTTTGGAAACAGACCGCTGCCCTAGCCAGGAATCCAGCGATCGAGCCGGTCCGCAGCGGGCGGGGCTGCAGCGCTCCGACCTTCCTCTCGCTCCTCTCGGTCAACAGCGGCGCCCGCAGCCTCCTCCCGGCACTGCAGGCACCGAGCGCTGCCGAGAGATGCCCGCCCTGCCTCGCCCACAGGACGCTCAAGGAGTCGGCACATTCGCCACAAAAACGTCGGGTCCAGTACAGCGGAGACCTGGCGTTATGTTCTTTCTACTGCACGGGAAAATACTCAAGTGATTGTGATAATCTCTAGATACAAAGTTCTCTTTAAATGGCGGAAGAATTGACCACTCTGTGGTAGGAAAGCTCAGAATCTTCCCTGTAACTGGAGAGCTTTTTGTACGAATCGTGGTTTAGTTTTTTTCCACTAGGTGTCATACTCGAACGCCTGCAGCCAAGGTAGATTCCAAGACCCAGATGAAGTGCTCACAACAGCAATGAAGATCCCTCCTGAAAAGCAGCCATTCTACAGACTGCCTTTCCCTCTTTCCCTGGCTTTCCCTATTTTCCTATTTTTCACCTGATTATCTGAGGCTGCTCTGAATCAGCCTGCTTTTCTTCTCCTTCCGAAGTTTTGATTACAGTCTTACACAACAGGACATGCTTATAAAACCTAGTGCTCCTTTCCTGAGCACAGCCTTAGCAAGAAATACTATCAACTTAGGAATATATAATTTACTGACGAAAAAAAATATTAATAAGAGAGGCAAAAACAAACAGACCAACACAAACCCCAAGAGCCCACTGCCATCTGCATAACCTTACAAAAAGGTTAGAGAGAAGGAGTGAAGGGGCTTACAGACCTGCGGTGCATCGGGGTCGGTGGGCGGCTCTCCCGCGACGGCGCTGCTACTCGGGCTCGGCTTGTCGCAGGGCTCCCCGGCCAGAAGCTCCTCGGCGGGCAGGATGGGCAGCGGCGGCGGCGGCCAAGCGGCCTCGGCGGCGGCGCGGGCCGGCGCGGCCACGCACAGGTTGTAGGAGTAGGGCAAGGTGCCCTCGCAGAAGTCGGGC